GGTTTCGACATCCCAAAAAGCATCTTCTGACGTGGTACCCCAACGACGGACGCACAGCACACCAAATAGGTTATCTTCTCATCGGTTTACGGTGGGTTTCTTCGATTGAAGACTGTCTATCCTATTGCGGAGCTGAATGCGGAAACGAAAGGGGATTTGATCACGTACTATTTCACTCGAAAGTCAGACGCCATCTGGCAACTAGCAGGAAGACCGTCCTCTCAAAACGCTTCCACTGGAGAACAGCGAGAGATGCCAGACACTGATGGGCATGATAACTGCACAGCTGTCAAACACTCCCCTTCAGTTCGCAAGGAAACACAGGGAGTTCGGCTGAAACTCAGTGGACCAGGATGAAGTCTTCGATACAACAAGCTACTCTACACGAACCACTTGCTGGGTCACGTCGTCTGAAAGACTGGATATCCTACTATATCATCCAGTTAGCTAATGCGGCCAGAGCGGTACGCCTAGCTCAATCCTCTGCTTATCGCGATCTCAGACGTCAAGCAACACGATCAGCCAGAAACGATAGATGCAACTACTGAAATGGAATCGCTACAAAAATGGAGACAGCATCCAACCTGGGCAACACGGCGGCCCTCTTCCGACTTATTCGATCGGCACCGGGGAAGAAACAGGTCATCGAATCTGTTGCGCAGCGCCTCCGACGCGCTCGTTTCTGATGCGCAAGGGAACATGTCTCGTTTGGTGGAACACTTTAGTCTTCTTCTTAATCGCTCTCAAATTTAACTTGCGTATGCGTCCTTCTCGCCATCTTCTCCATACGAAACCAACTGCGCTCTGCCATCAGTAGAAAGTCTCAGATATCAACCATTTCAAGCCGCGGAAATCTCCCGGGAGGACAGGATAGCCCCGAAATCTACGCATTGTTCTTCAGCCATTCTGAACCCTCTTCATAGCTTACTGTGTGCAACCGGGGAAACCGAAATTTTCCCAACTGACTGGATCACATCGATTTTACTACCTTCCCTAAAATGGGTGACAGATCAGTGTGCGAAAACTACAGAGGCACCAGTTTACTTGACGTGCCGGACAAGGTTTTCGCACAACTTTTGCTGAGCCGCTTTGCTGCAACAAGATACACACGAACTCGTCGCCGGTGTGGGCTTCGTCGATCAAATATTCACTTTNACAACCCACAGCAGATTGCTTCATTGATTTTCGTGCGGAATTCAACTCCGTAGATCGTGAATCCCTCTGGAACATAGTTCTGGTCCATGGTGTCCCAGTTAAATTTGTCAACTTAATGAGATCCTAGTATTCTAACACTAGCGCACGAATCCGCATCTACGGAGAGGAATCATGCGCGTTCGAGTTAGGATCTGGAGTATGACAGGGGTGTCCATTGCCCCCAACGCTGTTCAACTTTGTCGTTGACTGGATAAGGCGTCGTTCGATGGAAAAATACCCGGGAGTTCAGATCTCTCCGAACCTATGTCTCACTGATTTAGAATTCGCAGATGATATTGTAATCTTTGGCGAGGATATGTCCAACCTCCAAGTAATCGTTGACCGCATCAATCAACAGGCCTCCAAAATCGACCTAGAGGTGAACACATCAAAAACCAAAGCCTTTGCTACAGTCCCGATTCATTCCGAAAATGCTTTGCTTCTAAACGGCTAGCCGATCCACTCCGTCTAAAGCTTCAAATGCTTGGGCTCAACCATACTTCCCGGCGGCCAAGCTAAAGATGAGATGCAAGTGCGCGTCGATTCTGCAAGAAAGACGTTTTTACAGCCGAAGAATTCCCTCTGCCGTAGAAATGAAATCAACCTCAAGACAAAAATCCAAGTTTTCTCCGTACCAGTTCGTCTTGTCTTACTATACGGCTGTGAAACCTGGCCATTTGGAGTCGAATACTGTCGCTGATTGCAAGTCTTCGATCACTGGTGCTTAATGATCTTTCTGGGAGTACGATGGAGGGATCAGCTCTCAAATGAAGCGGTCAGAAATCGTTGTTCTAATCTTGCGGACGCTAATAAAACGGCGGCGATTACGATGGTTTGGTCACATTCTTCGTAAGACTGATAACGACCTGACCAAAACGTCCTTGGCATCGCCTCTCTGTCCGAACTATCACTGTCGACACGGTCGGCAGCTGGAAACCCGGCTTGACACGGTGCGAAAGGTTACTGAAAACCTTGATCTCCGCTCCGTCTACTGCATTCGCCAATGGATCACAATCTGCGCTGATCTTGTCGCAGATCGCCTACCGTGGACATAGGCCATTGGGGATATCCATGAAACCGGCTTATCCTCTCCCAGGAGCCAGTCGCCGTAAAGTAAATTAAAGTATGCAAAATAACCAGGGGGTTGGCGCCAAATATAAAAACAGAAAAAGAACAGTCAACTTTGAGAATAACAAATTTTTTGTTTGTTTACTGCATGCCAAATTAGGCTTTTTTGTTATTGTTCATTTTTGGGATCATACACAAAAATGATGCATTCACACTATTGTCTTCGGTTCGGTGCCATATCCCGCTATGTCTCCAGTTAAAGACAATCCGAATCTTTGGGTCCCCAGCCGGGAAGCCTGATCCGAGCACACGCTCTTTAACCCTCTACACCACATCATAGGCTGCCCACCTCGCTGTTTCCTCCCTCCTGGACCGATATCTGCCTGCACCCATATGCTTAACAGACATCTCGGAATTGAAGATCTAGACGTGATCGGTAAAAGCACGCGGTGGAATTTATGTTCAGAAAAATTTTTCAACGTCCATTCCGGATTCTGCACTTACAAGTTATACAAATGATTAAGCTGCACTTATGCTTTAACGTCAGATGTGTTAAAAATCATTTGACTAAAGGATGGAATGGTGTTAGTGGTGGTGGACGGAGAGCACAGTTAGAGAAGCGTGCTCAGCGTTCATTTCATTAGTTCGATCTAGTTTGGCTTCGCACGGTCATCTCTCTAGTCCCTTCACATATCGCCGGATTCCAACAGTTTTGCACACCGATCAGAATTCGATAAACAGATAGCGGCGAATCTTGTTATGGTGAATGTGTACAATCAAGCTGCCTTCAATCGATTTAACGGATCTTGAGACGTAACCTCGAAAGAGTTCTCCGGGTTCACTCTCAACCAGACGGTCAAATAGCTAGATGTTTCCGTTTCATTTGATATACAAGTCCTCACCTGATTATTCCAACAAGCCTAGAGATATGTGAACTCTTTCCTTCATTTGTAAGCATGCTTTTGTGTGTACTCTCGGTTGTATTTCTACTTTGACTATCGTGTACTTTGTTCATCTTAGTTTTTTTTCTCTCCACAGATAATGCAATACCTATTCGTTCCTGGTTCTCTGATGCGCATGATACTGCATTGCTTTGTCTATTACCCATCTTGGATGCGCTAAGATTTGTGAGTGATGTACGATCTGTATTGAGTCGAAACTTGCATCGGCCTCACTCCATGCTGTCCACATAACCACTGCTCACTTATTATCCCCGGGCACTTCTATACCCGATTTATTCCTTTGTTGTCCATGTTTCACATCTGATCACGACAATGCGCCCAAAAACCGTTTTGCGTCACCTATCTTCGCCCTCCCATTATAAATCATCCATACACACCCTATTCTACCCGTGTTTTTGGCTAGAATATCCCATACATGGTTTGTGTGGCGGTTGTGAATAACCTTTCTGTTATTGTCGATTACTTCTCTCTGCCCTCCACCTATTCACATTTGAGCCCACTATACGTTTCATCCCTTATCCGGTGTTCCCTTTCCTATCGTCCCCACCACGAACTTTCATGTCACTCACTACCCTTAACCCAGATTTTTCCATTCAGCTATCCCCACTAGTCTTCTTCCATCTGTCAGCTACCCGTGATGTATTCAGTTCACCGTCCTTTTGACAATTTTATAACCCAAACTGAAGGTTTCTTTTCGATGCGCCCCCAATGCCTGTTGATTCGAATATCAATCGGTCCTCAACGCAGTTTCCTGTCTGGCTTCAGTGTTACTGTTTCCTGTACGTTGATCCCTTTTTCGATTCGATACTACTCTGAGATGCTTAAACGTTTCATTCTACCAACCTTGAACTGACAGCTATTTACGTGTGTGCTGTTAGCCCACTTTCACAGTGGGTTTGGGAGGCTACCAAGTTCCTTCTGTCGACTAGACTAGCTGGCTGGTCGATGTCGATTGTTAGCACGTCATATGAACTTTTTTCCGACTATCCCAATCTGTTCGAGACACGTATTTTCCTAATCTAGCCTGTTTTCAATGCTCTTCATCCATCGACTGCTTATTTACGAAGAAAACGGTTCTTTTTCTAAGTTCGATTCATTGGTCTGTGTCAATCTACATTATGCACTTAAACCTCTGGGTTCCCCCGTTGGAATCTCATCTCTTATCCAGTCAAGTTTAAGCGTCTCATAGGCTCTTATATTGATGTACTTGACGGTTTCTGCATTCGATTTTTCCAATCCCTTTCCCCCCACTCCGACTTTGAGGTGAATGCGTGTAAATACATATCTCTTTTGCTGTTTTCATCCTTCACCGTACGCGTACAAGTACGACTAATAATAGAGTTTTAGAACACATAAAGGCTGAGAAGTCTTATACAGCTACCGGTACAGTTTCATCAATATCCATCAACCTCTTGGGGAATCAAGTGTAAGCAGTCCCATACGTTTATCGTACTATCAGTTTGATTTCCTATCAGTCGTCGGGACGAGTCACCTTATTTGTACTCGCTCTTTATATCAGTGCTTACTTAACTGCGACTGGCTCCTTTGAGAGGATACGTCTGCTCTAGACATGGTCATGAAGTTCCTTGGGAGTTTGGTACGAGAGACGTCCCCAGCGCCACTCGGCGTTTTTTATTTTTAGGGCGCACCTCTAGCCTCTGCACAACCAAAGGCGAACTGCAAAGCAGCAGGAAGTAATCCCTCACCTCCGAAGTGAGGGAGTCAATGGCTTTAGTTTTAAAAGGCCAGTCACATCAACCTTTGTCACGACACCGTCACTGGGCTTGTGGCTTTTAAACAGGAGCCAGGTTACCAGCCAGAAACCCACCACACCCTGGTAGTGCCGCCGCTGTTTGTTCGCGACTGTTTATTTGTTGCGTTATGACACTACTTATTCACAGGTAACCTTCGGTGAAGGTATCCCCCTATGCACAACTCGGTGACGCGCCTGGTAGCATTCAGCTCTGCTTAACCCGACGGTATCCCTGTAGTGTCTACTGTCAAAAATTGTCCTATTCATCTCCATAACGATTGGACAATTTGAATGTGCTCTATGGTATCTCGAACTGAAGAAAACAAAAATGATCATCATGTTCGCACGATTTCAAGTTCCTTTCTCTTGTGTTCAAACTGTTCATAGTGTAACGAGAAGGCGAGCTGGTTGGGAAAACGTCTATTGATCCAATTAAAAAACAAACAGTGTATGCGTTCGATTACCTACAGTCAATTCTCAACCGCGCGGCGGGATGATTCATGCCTCTTTCTGTGCGTCATTCCTTGTTGGTCTTGGACCGCACCGGTCACGTACGTTGCCTCTTCTTCCGCGTGCCATTCCGACTGGTTTGACCCGATCGCGGCGCGTGCGTTGATCGGCAGCTCCGACGTTGTGGCATTCGTTGGGTATCTTTCCCGTTAGCTGCGGATTGTCTGTCGGGCTGTAATTGTCGATTTGCTCGTTTTGGGTGGCCGTCAACCTTGTCTCGCGAGGCACTCCCCGCCGCTGCGTCTGCGCGTCTAGTCGGATGAGCCCCATTTTTGCTTTGGTCGCTAACCAGGACTCTCTTTGTACCGCATTCCATCACAATAGTATGCGAGCTAGTGAATCAATGAAGTGATTAGGTCCATGTCCGAGAACAAAAACGATGGGAGTAAGAGGAGATTCTTCACTTCTTTGATGGCCACAATAACATCGCAAGATCATACACCTTCGTTGCTGTAGATTCGCATGGGCTAAAGCCAGGCGGATAATAAATAACAGTTATAGCACTCGGTGCGGGTTGTCGCAATTTTGTCGAAACCTCACATCGTCTTGTGTTCTTTTATCGAAAAGCAGCCTTCTGCACAAGACGACAGACTTTTTCGTGCTGGGTTTCTACGGTAGAAAGCTTAGGGTTTTCGAACGAGTAGTTTGATTCTATTCTACAAGTTTGGGATAGAATATAACCATAGTTAATTGAGGAGAGTACACAATCTCGCAGATCTCCCCTTCGTACCGATTGAACGTAAGAAGGCCTCTAATCTATTCGGCTGATGAAGAACGAAGCTTAAAACCTGATGTCAATTCGGAATACCAGTTATTTCATCGATATTTCCTAATTATCACGATTGAGAGCTTTTCAGATATTGAGCCATAGGAAGTTATCTGTGTGATAAGTTTCCCAGGAGTTCGTATCTAAAATCGGGAGCGACGAAGATAGAAGCGTTCATCCAGAAATCCACATCCGTTCGAAGATAATCCCGACTTTTGTGATCTCTGGTACTAATGCGAGTGTAAGAAGTCGCGCGTTTGAAGAGGTATGGGCTTTAATCCAAGTGTTGAAGAAAATAAACACCGGTGGCAACCTATGGTGCTCAGTTCCCCCTCACACATTGGCAATGCGATTGATAGAAAGACTACAGTCTAGATTATCAGGGTTATCATTGTCAAGGGACCCTCCTGCCAGGAACGTACATGCTAGAATGAAGACTGGAGTAGAGGGAGTTGGACGGGGTTCTATAAAGGCTTTGGGAAGGGAGAATTCTACGGCGTTTTCATGTGGTTCACAAATCCAATGCACTAAGGAATTCGCAAAGAGAAATTGAAAATTGTGTTCTACAGGAAACTAATAACTCCTGCTTCCGGGAGGTGTAGGGAACAGTCTTCCTCTTATTGGTGTTTCTTCCGAGCTTCTTCGATCTAGATGAGAAGCAAGTGCAAGAGCCGCTCGAAAAGAGCCCCGTTGCCGAAATTTCGACGCACGGGATATCACAAAACTGAATAAGACAGATGAAAATGTGAACGACAAGTGGATCGAAAGTTGGAAAATACTAAATGCTGAACACAATTACAATCAATAGTTACTTGTAAAGTACGCAACTTATGCGGCTAGTCTTGTTTAAGCGCAGTAAAATGCTCTTAAGAGGTCGGGGAAAAGAAAACGATGCGGGAATCATGATAGTGAAGAATGTTAGTTCAGAAAGTCATGCGGAAATGCGGACAAAGTGCTAAAATAAAATGAGTGTTCTTTCACAAGAGTGAACCGTGTTTATTCTTATTTAGCAATATCGCAAAAGGAAATGAGAAAGCTGACCGTACGATGATTGTGGCTAATGCACCAGCCTTATTTTCCATGTGAATTTTAAGAATAAAGTTCATCTAGTAAACCTTGAGGATGTCGAAGCTGTTTGGTTCGGATAATTTCGTAGTGAATTCAGTATTTGCATTTGGATAGGGTGTGAAGATTGAAAGAACGAGGGACCACAGGTATTGTTGGTTTAAGAACGCCTAAAAGTGGTTGGTTTCAGTTAACCATACACCTTCGTGTGGCGGTTTTGGCTGAAGATGAAGATTAGGAGAAAGACAGGAAGGTGTTGATATCTCACTTAAAATCACGAATGTCGTTATGTGAGTGACTCTAAACATTCTCTTTTTTAAATAACTGGATGAACTTATGTGAGAACTACACATTCTTCTGAACGAACGATTAGTCATACGCCGAGATCGGACTGTTGTTTATTGCATCTAATCTACTGTGCAATTGAATGCACAAACTTATAACTTCTGTTTTGTTTGTTCATGAAAATTAAAAGGAAGATAAGTTATTAGTAACCTCGGAACCAGGAATGATAAACTGTTCCGTAAGTACCTTTACTGTCCCTCTCAAGTTACATGGGTTTTTTGCGACTTATTCTTCCACGTAATTTCACGATGTAACATGTAAAGCTCACCTGTACAAATGAGAAAACTAAGCAATGAACGATGAATATAACGAACACGAGGAAGTCCATCCAGGCAACTGTATGGATTACCGAAATTACACAAACCTGGTGTACTGCTAAGAACTATCCTGTCGATGAGGAACTGTCCATCACATCAATTGACAGAGTGGTTGGTCAACGTATTACAACCAGTGGGAAATTGTATTATTATTACCATATACAATATAGTAATATAATAATAGTAATATATACCGTGAAAGATACTTTTGACACGTTAAAACAATGCAATCAACTGAAAGTTGCCAAGAAACACGGCTTCGTTGGACGTGCAATCATAATGTACCAATATTCCTGTTTGTGAAGTCATTCGAATAATTTGTGATCAAATCGAAACAGTGAAGTGAGCACTGGTCTACCGGCCGCTGTTTTGTAAATACTCTTACTGCAGATTACTACGAATGTCCCATTTACATTCCAAGGAAAGGTATTTGGACAAGTCGATGGCAAAGCTATGGAAAGCTCTTTGGTACCAG